TATAGGTGCCCAACATAAATGAGGCACCTGATATGTGCTGTTGACTTCAGAGAAACAAAAAGGCCCATCAATTTCATATGACTCTAGTAAGCAGGATTTGAAATTAAATCTTAATTTCTTTTATGTTTGCTATGTGTTGTGAAAATGACCTGCCATTCAATTTTCGTTGGTTAATCTGTGAATTAAAGGTGACAGTGAATTTAATTTGGGAAATAACGTGATGGATAGTCTTATAATTCTAGTCTACTTTATTTATATTGCAGAATTTGCATTGAAAATGTATTTTGGGACCATATTTTAATTTTTTAACTACTAATACTTTAGCTCTCACACCTATATTCCCCTATCAACCAGAGACATTTTTACATTTCAGCTATGGGCCTTTGTTATTACTTAAGATACAAAACGTATATAATTTTCTAGAACTTTTGTGGCACAAAATATAAACCAGCTGAAAGCATGAGAATGGAAAAAAGTTTAAATATTAACCATTTCACGCCCAGAGCTGTTTTTTTTTTTGCACACATATTAAAATGCACAGTTTAGGTCTGAAAATTGTTTAAACCTCCAAAATTATATATCTGAAGGCAGAGACCCTGGAGAATAAAATAATGGCAATTGCAATTTTGTATGTCACATGATATTAGCAAAACTGTTTATCAAACCTAAGGTTTTCGTAAATAACATATTGAAATTCATTTCAATGCACACAATCACAATATAATCTTGGGGCAAATATAAAATATGGTGCCTGTATGTGGGAGCTTTAAAAACACATTTGTGCTATTTTTATTGATTTTATTACACTTCTTTTTACTTAACTTTATTGCTAGTTGCTGTGCTGTTCGTAAACACTGTTCTGTTCGTAAACACTGTTCTGTTCAAACACTGTTCAGTTTGTAAATGAGAAAAACCTACAGCATGATAATATCTATGTTGTAAAGAAAGGAATCCAGATACACCAGATAGACAGTTTGGCTCAGCACCCTGCTGTGGACTCCTTTCTGTGCTGCATAGATATTATAGTGCTGTAAATTTTTCTCATTTGCAAATTGATTTGATGGAGATTATTTGAATGCACTAAAGTATATGCTTACTTTTCTCACAAATACCATAGGCAATCTCCATTCTTCCTGAAAAAGCACCAACGAAACACATAGAACACTGGGTCCACTTAATTTGCCTACAATTTATGAACGTGACTGTTATTGATTGACATGTATGAATATTTTATGAACATGTTTTAGGTGGCCCAGAGAGGTATTTGGCTATGCACATAGCAGTTGGTTATGAGAAAATGGCTGTTTTTTTAATGATTGGTTTTATACAGCATCCTAATAAAATAAGACTTTTTAGAGAAAATATATCTTTATTGTGGTTGTGGCACCTAAAAAGCCCCATTACTAAGTAGGTGGTTTGTTTGGTTGTGATTCTCTGGGTGTGGTGTCACTTCAATCCGGTGGGGTCAATATACAGTTGGCTCACATATTTTCTTTCAAAAAAGGTGATGTAACACAGGAGACCAGTTGTTCATACTCTTAGTGCTAAGGGGTAAATAGATATTAACATCTGAAAAATGACAGGGCTACACTTTACACATTGACAATCTTCTTCCTGCTGGCATATCACAACCAACAGGATCACAATAATAACCTCTCACCTCTCATCAGCAAGGGAGGAGCAAGAGTTGGACAACTCATTAGTTTGACCAGTGATGGAGCATCCTTCAATGATGTTACTTGTAATCACTTATATTGTGTGTCATTAGTGAAAAACTATGGGGTCTATTCACTAAGCTGCCAAAGAATCTAGCCGTAGCTTCGGCTGATCCTTCGGCTAGCTTCGGCCCCAGGACCCCTTCGGGTCAGTAGTCAGTAGAACTGAAGGGCAGCTGTACGGGCTATTCACTATAGCCCGTACAGCACCTGAAGTTGGCTGGGCGGCTGAGTCAAGCCGAAGGCATATGCCCCTGAGCCGAGGTGAAAGCCGAAGCTGGCCAAGCAGCCGGCCGACAGCCTGCTTCTGACAGCTGGGCGGAGCCAGCTGTCATCTCACGGCTGGCTTGATCGAGCAGAGTAAACCTTTCCCTGCTCTGTTTTTTTTTTCTTCTGACATCAGAGCCGTTGGCTGCCGTCAGAATTAAAAAAATCACCATAGGAATGCATAGCTAGATTCCTATTGGATATTTCACTTAGCAATAGCAAACTAGCCAACTCACCCGCCCACTGCTGCTGTCAATCAGCAGAGGGGACCTGAAGTTCTCCACCACCCCGAAGCCACGCGAAGCAAGCTGATGTATGGCTGACTTCAGCCAATATACGGCTGAAATCAGCCGTACAAGCCTGAAGTGAATAGCCGAACAGCGTTCGGCTCACTTCACTTCAGGTTGTTTATTCAGTCGGCTGCCTACGGCAGCTTAGTGATTAGACCCCATAATATTGCTACAGGAAAGAGTACAATGTATTGTCTGTCTTTCTATTCATAGTGGAAATTCATTTTTGCGGCAGAAGATTTTAAGAATTGTAGAAAATATTAACTTTATTATTATTAAAACTTTATTTTTAACCCCTTGCCGTCTGAACATTGTAAAATTATGGGCGGACGGCGGATGCTTCCTGGCGGGTGGACGTACATTTACTAGATTTACTTCCTGGGTGTGTGCGCCCCCTAGCACGGTAATACAAGCGATCGGCTGCCAGGAGACCTCGGGGCCAACCCGCATTGCACGGTAATACAAGTGTTCTATTCAATATCTGAACAATAAAAATTTTTGCTTAGAGTTAGGGCCCATTCACACACAGTGTTGCGTTAATCACACAATACCGTGTGATTACTGCACGCTTTTGCACAACACACATGGTGTGCATTACCATGTGCTAAATGCATTGCATTGCCATTCATTTGAATGGCACCCCAACACACCTCCTGGGCCGCTGTGCATTGCAACAATTCATACATTTAGAGGTGTCCTCAGAAAATGCAAATACATCAACTAAAGTGTTGCATCTCTGTTTTGTTTTGCATTTTCATAATTTTTTATAGAGACATTTGTGGCTGACAGCCTCAGAATGCTGCGGCATTTCTGTGAATATGTGAAATAAGGTGCTTCTCAATTGCTTGCATTTGTACTGCCCAGTTCATTTATACTATATATCAACCTAACTTAAAAAGGGAATGTTCCTATTTGCCTCCACTAACCCATTTACAGGGGGTAATTTTATGGTAAGATTCTACCACTTTATTGTACATTTTATTGCAAAGCATAGATCAATCTCTGTTATCTCACTCTAAAAAGGACTGGAAAGTTTCTTTTAAAGTAAGTGACAAGGAGCTAAATGTTAGATACCAGATCCACTACAATAACACAAAGAGACCCAAAGTGATAAGAGACAAAACATGTAAAAATAATTGGTATAGAGGGTGCATGCACCATTCATCAATATGCATGCTCTTAATAACCTGCACTTTGTCTAAAAGGTAAAGTGTACCTGTGCCCATTTGTCTGTGTAAGTGCCAAAAGAATATTAGTGCAGACAACCACAACCTCATGATTGGCCTGTAAAGCTACCGATTATATTGGCAAGTCATGAGGCAAGAGGGTAGAACAGGACAGGGCCAAATGCAGACTTTTCTAGTGAAAGACTGTATTTGCCAGTTATAGCTCCACAGATCTGGGGGCTCCAGAGGTGCCCTAGAAGGTACAGAAGAAAATGTTCAGGCATTGTTGAGTGCAATTACTAACCTCTTTATGCTAATTTACATGTGGTTGATCTAAGAGTTCATAATAAAATATATAAATAATTATTTATAAGAAAGCACTTAGAAGCATAACAAAACATCCAAAAGACTTAATCAGAGATAGTAATAAAACTTTTTTACCATTATTGAGCAGGTTAAAAAAATAGGGATAATTTGTTTTGAGACTGAGTTGTTAAAGCACGCTTAAAGTTCATACTTAATACACTGCTATGTTGCTCCAATACAACAATCCTTAAAATAAGAAATCATGTGATAAAAAAACAAAATTATGTAATTATTAAGACTGAATAATTGGAACACGTTTAAACCGAAAAGATACATATTGTCAGAGACCTGCTGCTTCTGCGCATGCGCCAAGCCGGGGTTCCCGTAATGGGCCTGTGTGTATGCGCGCGCCAAGGACTGTCCGCGGAAGAACGCTCCCCAAAAGACTCACAGGAAGTGATGCTATCCAAAAGGCTCACAGGAAGTGACACTCTCCAAAAGACTCACAGGAAGTGATGCATGTTTAAAAAAAAAATCAAGGACTGTTTGCAAAAACCATTATAATAACCCATTTAAGACAAGATAATTATAGCTATATCTAAGAAACAAACTATTATAAGCAGGAGTAGTCACTACTGAGTCTAGGAATGTATTTAGTTAAAAGGCAGCAAGTTAAATAAATCTAGGTAGTGCATACCACTTTTGCCCTGCAGCACCATTGCTTCAGTTTGAATCCCAGCCAGGACACTATGAGGGTTATTCACTCAGCTGTCTGCCTGAGGCAGCTGAGTGAATAACCGAGTCGAGGTGAACTGAGCCGAATGACGTTTGGCTATTCACTTTGGCTCAGTACAGCCGATTTCAGCAGTACATCGGCTAAAATCAGCCATACATTGGCTGCCTTTGGTCAGCCGAACATGCTCTGCTCTGTCCAGTTGTTGTTATTTAATGACAGCTCAGTGTCCTTGAGGACAATGGGCTCTCATTGAAGGACAACTAGTGGGAGCCAACCATGACATCATGGCTGGCTCCGCCCAACTGTTGTCAATTGTGGGGAGAATGGTCAGCTTTGGCCGACCTTTCTCCCTGCTTCCGCTGTCACTACGGTTTAGCCGAGCCGAAGCAAATGCGTTTGGCTGGGCTGAGCCACTCGGCTGCCTGCGGCTTCTGTGCGGGCTATTGTGAATAGCCCATACAGCAGCCCTTCAGTTTGACTGAGCTATGGCTAGATCCTTCAGCAGGTAAGTGAATAACACTCTATATTCATGGAGTTTTCATGTTCTCTCTGTGCTTGAATGGGATTCCTCCAGGTACTACAGCTTACTTCCACACCCCAAAAAGACATGCTGGTAGGCTAATTGGCTCCTGTCTAAATTGGTCCTGGTATGTGTGTGTCTATGTATGTGTCAGGGACCCAGGGGGGCCATTCCTTGTCAGTTTCGCAGGCGCGGGCATCGGGCACGGGTAGCTCCTCCTCCTCCCCCTGGCAGGGCATCTGACACTGGTGTGGCCATTGCGCAGGTCGCGTGCCGGGTGCGCGGTACGCAAGCCGCGCGCATGCGCGGACGAGCGAGCACAGTGCACGCGCACGCCATTCCGTGCCACAGGTGCTACTCATGCTGGGGGAGGACTTCAGCCTTCACCACTTGCCCTCAGCCTTGTGACTGGACTCTGACAGGGGAAGCTTCCTGGTTGCCTTGACAGCCAGGGGGCGGTACTGGGTTCCCTGATTATTTAAAGCTGGTCAGAGACTTGACTCATTGCTGAGTTATTCTACCTCATGGTGAACACCCAGCTCCCTCCTGTGAACCCGTTGTTTGATTTGACTTCCCGGCTACCGACCCTTTTGCTTGACCCTTCGACTACGATTTCTGCTGCCCGCCACGACCCGGAACTGGACCTGACTCCCCGATTGGACTATCCTTTTGTACTGCGATTTTTGGACTTTGTTTGTCCCTGCCAAGGGGTTCCACACCTGGCCCGTTACTCCAGCCCTGACAGTATGTGCAACAGGGACCTTAGACTGTAACCTCCTTGAGGGCAGGTATGTGGATATACAGTATTTAAAGCACTGCATACATTGATGGTGCTATATAAATGACATAATAGATAAACAATAAAAAACAAAATAGCACATTATGTACACCACAAAATATATGAACATAAATCAGAGGTACTGTATATATGCTTAAAACTGTGCAGTCCATTTACCAGAACATTGCATGATTTAACTGTGATTGCATGCATTCTTTCCAAGCAGTCACCAGAGAATTCTGTGCAATAGTGTAATAGCTCCTGCCATAGCATTTTGTGTAGAGGGAAGGGAAAAAAGTATTTTATTTCTGATACTTGTGTGACAGGTATATGTGATAGAAAAATACACAGCAATGCAGATTGTAGAACATTTTTCCTTTACAGTTCCCCTTTAATATAGATGTGGCGTAATATAAAAAGTTATCATTAGAATTTAATGTAATTGTATGTATATATGTTGACAGTGTTGTATTTATGTCATATTGTAAGCTATACTCTACATATGAGCTCAGAAAGCTACTTTGCACTGTGATCTTTAAATGACCTCAATTACATCATATAAGTACAGCAATTCAGTATTACTGAACCTGCTTAATACTTCAGTTTTTCATAAAACATCTCCACTTGTCTTGGCTGCATAATGTGAAGTAAAATAGTGGCACAAACTGATTTCTGAAATACAATTGCTTCAACCTATATTCTTATTACATTACCTTAACCCACATTTCATTTATACTGAAGCACTGCTCAATGAATATTTATGAGCTAACTCAGTAATGCCATCCAATGAGAAAACTCTTCATGGCAGGGTAGAGATTTACATTCAACACATTACAGAGATGTTAGTCATATGAAGAAAAAAAATGTCAGTCAAGTAATATTAAGGCTAAAAATAATACTGTCTACATTAATAAACCAACCCTATTAATTGAGAATTTTGCAAGATGGTATTTAGGCTTTGCAAAAAGGGTATTTATTTAATGTATTGTATGTATTTATTACATTTACAAACAGGGGTAGGTAGCCTTTAAAAGTGAATTTCAGGCAGATTATCAGTTTATTCTAGCTATATACAGTGTTTTACATTTTGCAGTGTTACAATCCAGAATTAATATGAACTGTGTGTTTTTATTGACTGAAAATAATCCCTATAGTTTATGTAAAAAGACAAGAAAAACTAAAACTTTTTCCAAAATATTTACAAATGAAAGCATAGCTCATATAAGTATTCATGGTGTTCCATAATTAGTTGAATAGAGTCCAGTTATGGGAAAATGTCACATATTCTATAAAAAATATAGTTACAAAAAATATCCCATAATTTGAACATCCCTCAGAGGATTATTACATTATATTAATACAAATAAGAATAATTTGGGCGTGTCCTAACCATGGCGGCGTGAGGTGCTCGTTCAGAGAGCTTCGCGGCTTCAGCGTATCATCGGCACACTTACCTTTATCTAACTCCCGCTGACACCCCGGGTTTCAACATGTCTAAACGCCGGAAAGGACGGGGGATCTAAAACTCAGGTCTCGGATGCCTCCATGCAGCAGTTTTTCTCTCCGAGAAATGCGGGCCCGGTGGAGCGTGGCAGATCCAAGATGGCCTCATCCACGAGGGCTCCATCCCACAACACACGCCGACGGGGCTCCCCATCTCCGGATACCTCCCGGGCTGGATCCGCTTCCCCTGAGCTCCCCCCGGTCTGGACCCCCACGACGACGGCGAAGAGGTGACGGATGACCTGCCCAATGACATGCCGGACGGGTTCCGGGCCTTGCTACATTACCTCCCCACCAGGCAGGACTTTGAGTCCATGGTGTCCAGGGTTGAGGCTGCCTTGCGAAAGGACCTACGAGAAGTGAAGCGGGAGGTGAGAGGACTGGCCGCGACAGTGGCGGAGGTCTCTGCATCCTGCTCCACGATGGACTCGAGGATTACGGCACTTGAATCGGCGGCCCAAAGGCCAGATCCCCACCTTACTGACCTGCAACTCCATATGGAGGACATGGAGGATAGGGGGCGACACAACAACCTGCGCCTTCGTGGCATTCCAGAGGCCACTGGAGCCCCAGACCTGCGCCCGACCGTACAAGCAATCTTTGCATCCCTACTCGACAATGTGGACCCTGGTACCATCATCCTAGATCGGGTACATAGAGCCGCTGGGCCTAGACTGACCAACTCTACCAACCCGCGCGATGTGATCTGTCGGGTCCATTATTTCACCACGAAAGAGGAGATCCTCAGAGCAGCTTGGCGACATAGACCCGTGGAGTTCGATGGAGTGCAGATTCAAATCCTCCCGAATCTGTCTCGCAACACCCTCAGCGTCGAGCAATCCTTCGCCCGGTCCTAGATCTAATACGCAGCACGGGGGCGACATACCGATGGGGTTTCCCGTTTCATCTAATCGTCAAGAAGGGTGAGTCCATTTACGTGCTCCGCTCCCCGAAAGATATCCCGGGCCTAGGCGGCTTCCTGCATGTGGATGTCCCACCTCCTGACGACTGGCTGGCTTACATCATGGAGGGGCCTCGGAGACCACCTACAACCCAGCACGGGGCCCGCTCCAGATCTGGCTCCTCACGCCCGGACCGCCGACGCATGGGGAGTAGTGGAGATCCCAGGACATCGGTGGAGGCCTAACCTACTATGGATGCCCTGACCTACTGGACGTTCCGGTATTGGCCTTATTGTTCATTCATTTATTTTTCTCTTGTTTTTTTTTATGGGCCTTGTACTGATGGGTCTGAACCTCCGCGCTCCCCTCGGTCCTCTCCCACTTCAGGGGCTAGTATATCGACGAGACCACTGGGGATCACATACCCTCCTGGTACCGCGTTACCGAGGTCTATCATCTCTCTACCCAGACGTTGACTCAGGGATCTACTCCGGATTCACTCCACTGTAAGGTGATGGGGCATTCTGATCCCAGGGGGGGGGTGGATTTCCCTTACGGGTCTGCTACAATCGAGGCCCTGGAAGATCCTCATCAGTATGGACCTGTACCACCAGAGCTGGAGACGTTCCCTTTTCCTGACATTTCTCAAGCTGTGATGGATAGGAGGAGGGCAGACTACTTATGCTCAAACTGAAAATCGAATCTCAGATGGTTACCCTAGTGAACGTGTACCTCCCTAATATAGGACAGATCTCTTTCCTGGAAAGAGTGTTGACGTTGGTGGATGACTTCAAGGAGGGGGTGTTGATCATAGGTTGGGATCTTAATCTCCTGCTAAACCCACTGATGGATTCCTCCAGATCGGCCTCCCACCTCTCCAGAGCGGCATTGCACCGCCTCAAAAAGTGCCTTCATCTTCATCAGCTCGCTGACGTGTGGCGAGTTCACCATCCGCCAGACAGAGACTACTCCTTTTTTTCTACAGCCAGACAAACGTACGCAGCTCCGGTGAGACTGCAAGAGTACAGTTACACAACACACACCGCAGTAAGGGAGCCTGGGATCGGAATATAAAGTAGATCCACTCAGGATGGACCTGAACAGCTCCTCTCACTCTTACGGTGAGCCACTAGATAACTGGGCAATTGAGTTGCACTCGAGAAAGGCCCCCTAGGCAGTGGAGTCCGGATGGTCCACAGGCTGAGGTGTGGTCGACGGGGCTAAACATCCTAATTGGCCTTAGGGTTGTGACGAGTACATTTGCAGTTATAATTATAATATTGTTTGAAGACGTCTATCAGTTGTACGCAATCAGTGGCTGCGTCCACTGCTTTGGTATTGGAAATTTTGTCCCTTACTTACTTTCTGTTGCATGTATTCTTGAAAACCTGTTCAATAAAAGAATTTATAAAAAAAAAAATAATAATTTGGAGTAAGGGCATTAGGCAGAGCTCCAACCAAGTCAGTGATGGCGAAAGTGAAGGAGTTGCAGACAATCACAGTTTAGATGGGGCAAAGCCTGCAAGGGACAACTACTGTACAATATGTTGCTCCTCAAAAGCTGGTCTTTATGGAAGAGTGAGTGGCAGCACATCATTCCTACAGTGAAGTACAGATGTGGTAATATTGTTTTGTGGGGGTCTTTTTCCATGTGCACCGACTGGGAAGCTAATCAAGACTGATGGCAATATTAATAAAGCCAAATCCAGGGCAGCTAGGGTGGACCCAGCTAGGGTGGACTTGTTTAACATGAAACACTTGATGAATGTTTTATAATTGACCAGTCAAAGCTAACCTCAGTTTAACTGACAATCTGCAACAAAACTTTACAACGTTAAACAACTATATTTTCTCCAAAAATGTTACAGCTGTATTTACAACCATTTTGTTTTCTACTCAGTGTTGACCTAGAGTGGAGAATATACAGTATACACAGCCAATATTTTTTTTAGATTAATCAAGCTATGTGTACGATAAAAATATACATACGGTAAGTGACCTAGCTTTGGTGTCTGGCATGCCTGTCATGATAACAAAGCTTACTGAACAGAATTACACATTTTTCTGCATGTGAGACAGTACACATATATGGGATTCAGCGCTTTATGTAGTTGATTGCCTATAGTTGAATGAATATTCTAGATCATCATATTATTAGTGCTAGCCATTCTGAATAGGCTGTAAAGATAATATACAAGCAAATGTTAATATATAAACAAGTTAACCACTATTTGCTTGCTAAAACTGCATTCAACAATGCCCCAACATTTTACATTGAAGGTGTTTTATTATACCCATTATTTCATACTGCATATCACTGCAAATTTAATGAGTAAAGTATCTTATATAATGTATGTATGTTTGACTATTATTATCAACGATTAGCAGTAGTAATATAAGAACAGTGCACCTTAACCAACATATTTTTCAACTATGTTACATGACTTCTGAAAGAGTTGTATAAGGTAAATTAAAGTTCTAAACTTCAGTCAATTGAGTAACACAATCACAACCTCTACACTGCCTGCATATTACCTGTACTCTTACAAATAATAACATGCTACATTTATCTACTATAGTTGTGCTGTGTTGGCATTGTATGTTCCGAGGGTCAATTTAAAAGTCTGTACATTTTTCAACTTAAGGCATTGGGGTTGATTTACTAAAGGAGCAGAACATTTCAATCAACCAATCAAACAAAAACACATGTTTGGCCGACCTGAAGTGTGGAAGGAGTTCGACTCAGCCGATCCATCATCTGGATCGGCTATGCCGAACCTATGGCAAGCTACTCGCTGCTGTTCGGTCTACTCTTATAGATGCCGAACAGCAGTGAGTGAATAGCAGATTGCCGCTGAGCGGCATTCGGCTCGGCTGTTCTGCTCGGTCCCTCTGTGGGACCGAGCAGAACAGAAAAATAGTTAAAAAAGTAGAAAAAAAATAGAAAACGATTGTGCGAAGCTAGCAGTGAAAGCTTGCTCCACCCAACTGTTTTCTATTTGCTGGCAGTTCTGCTGCCGTCAAAAAAAAAAAGAAGAAAAAAAGAACATTTTTGCCATAGGAATGCATTGCTAGATTCCTATTGGCTATTTCAATTTGCAATAGCCAATAGCAAACTAGCTATTGTACCCGCCCTCTGCTGCTGTCAATCACTGATGGAGAACTGCAGGTCCCCTCTGCTGATTGACAGCAGCAGTGGGTGGTTACAATAGCTAGTTTGAAATAGCCAATAGGAATCTAGCAATGCATTCCTATGGTGAATTTTTTTTTTATTCTGACGACAGCCAACGGCTACATGTCAGAATAAAAAAAAGAAAAAGCAGTGTTTCTCTCCTGGGCGGCCGGGAGCGGGAGACTCCCGGAGCGCCTGGGAGAGTTGGGCTATCTTGAGATCAGTGTCCCTGGTTAGCTGGTAACCAGGGATGCTGATCTCTCTGCAAGTGGCCGGAGCCAGCCGTAATCACGGCTGGCTCCGCCCAGCTGTCAGAAGCAGGCTGTCGGTCGGCCAATGGCCAGCCGCTCGGCTAGCTGCGGCTTTCACCCTTGCTCAGTCGAGGAGAAGCATATGCCTTTGGCTCGACTGAGCCGCTCGGCCGACTTCGGGAGCTGTACGGGCTATAGTGAATAGCCCGTAAAGCAGGCCTTTGGTTCTACTGAACGGAAGGGGTCCTGGGGCCAAAGCTAGCCGAAGGATCAGCCGAAGCTACAGCTAGATCCTTCGGCTGCTTCGTGAATAGACCCCAGTATTTTTTTATTTATTTGCCGAACTTGCATATATGCCGAACTTGCATAAACATGTGCAAAAAGGAAGCTGTATTTGTCTCAATCAACCAATCACAATCCCAAATGTAGACAGTCAGTCACAGGAAGCCATATACAAGAATACATC